AATGCAGTCCACGGTGTAGGATCTGCAGTCTCAGTTCTATTGGCGACGTGAGCGATCGAAAGCGTCGCTGTGATCGGCCCACCACGATTGGCCGAATGCTAACTGTGACGTCAGCAAAGAATGTCTCATCGACGGAAATAAGAGGAATGAAAGAACTTCAATTTTTAAGGTGTTGGCAGTGTTGCTTTGAGAGGGCTATGATTTCAGGCTTCCACCATGCCCATTACAAACACCATCGAAGTTGTTGCTCACAAGGTAATGACGTCACGAACGGTAACCGAACGAGGGCGCCACCGAAACATCTCGACGCTAATAGTGCTTCTGCAACGTGCTTGGAGATTTGCTCTGTTTGGAGATTTGTGTTCGTCCTTTGTCCCTCTTGTTCCCCTTCTCCAGGGAATATTTTCGTCATTCTTGTCCAGCTCGCTGGCACCTTTGCATTTAATTGCATTTTAATGCATTCCACATTATCCAGATTGCTGTTCGTTGCAAATGTTTCGTAGGAGCTTGGTCTGAGGATACGGTCATTTGTGCCAGGCCAACCAAACCCCCACGCCCCGGTGCGCTGTGAATAGCACGCTCAAATCTGGCACCTTGAGGGGTCGCCATCGCTCGGTACTGACGGTTATTTCTACTTACTGGTTTTCTCGAGCTATTACTTCTGCAGTGTGAAACTAACACGGTGAATCGAACGCTCGTGGCACATAAAATACCGGCATTGGGCAAATGATATTACGGGAAAACTATGTATAGGCCATAGGGCGTACAGTCCTCGGTTATTACTAGTAGGCGAGATTGTCACGCGTTGACGCCACCAAGCGGCAAAGCTCGCAACTACACTACCCTTCACATTGCATGAACTATTGACGCCACGAGCGTGACGCGCATTGCGCTTCTCCCTAGCCGAATTTGAAGCGAGGGGTAAATGGAAAAAAAGAGCTCGCTCTCACGTCATTTCATTTCCGTACCTTAAGGCACTGGTTCTCAACCATTGATGTTTCGCGGACCCCTTGTGGATAGGCGGATATGATGCATGACCCCGTTCAGGGTGAGAAGAATCAAATGTATAAGTGAATCATAATGATTTAATAAGTGAATATAACTCATTGCTACTGTGAAGTAGACTTATCTCATTAGCATACACACGAGAGTACTCTTCCGAAAATTGGAACGTTTTTTTGGGTTTTTTTCAATGTAAACAAAGACAACCTATATTGCAGGGCTTGACAAATGAGACATGGCCCCGCGGACCCGTAGGATGCCATTGCGAACCCCAAATGGCCCGCAGACCCCCATTTGAAAATGACCACCCTACGGAATTGTAGATGTCTGCTTTCGGCATACTCGGTGAACAGAAATGCTTCTTCGTCACACGAATGAGTAACTCTTTTTACCCCGACACTGTTCAATAAACAGTGTTAATGATCAAACGATTATATGCACATTTCGATGAAATGGTTTTCCTTCAAGAGGGCGACACGTTTATTTGTGTAAAGCGAATTCTAGCGTTTATTCAAAATATATATTTCTAGTTAATTGCACTGAACTTCGAACTGACCCGAACGTTTGAATGTACGGGAAGCAGCCACAACGCACTATTTAGCGAGGCACAAAGGCTGTGTTTAAGCCGCGTTTACAACAATATATATATATATATATATATATATATATATATATATATATATATATATATATATATATATATATATATATATATATAATGTTTTAATGTTTATTCGCTGTGGTGCTACCGCGGTTACAAAGCGGAAACCTACAGTTGTTTTTCTTCATAAATATGGTCATTTTCTGAAAGGAAAGCACATGTTCGCATTCAATGAATTGACGAGCAACCTGGGACTATAGACCTTTTCAGCCTCCGCCGCATGGGCGCTGCCATCTTGGAATCACGTGATGCGGCCGCCATTAGGTTGCTTCAACTTGTTGCTCCGCTCTCCCGTCCGCGCCTTGGCGGATGCGTTGAATTCGTGTTTTTCGTCGCGTTTCACCGCGTCTCTTGCAAGTTGCTTTACTCCGTAAAGTGTCTTCCGATGCTTATACTTACCATGCAATCGCATTACATCATTATGCGCGCAACTTCTGTAGTTGATATCGTAACACGTTTTGAATATCTTTACCGTCGGCGTGCGGGATACGTGTGAAAAAATTTTATAGGAACAGGAATCAGCGTTAGCACTTGCGCACATTGAATACATATATGACTTGAAGAGAGCCTCGAGGGTTCAAATATCAATAACTTATGAGAACTGAGGTTTGGTTACTAATAAGGGCGGAACATTTGCAATAGGAAACCCAATGTTCTTACATATGCGTGCGCATTGGTTTCAAGGAAGTTAATAAAAACACCCAGCGTAATTAGCCATGTGTTTTTCCTCAAACATGGTGTTTTGTAGTTACAACAGATCGAAAACAGCTTCTTTTGATTACACTAGGGAACTTGTGGACAAGACGCGGGAACAAACATTTAGTTTGAATTATTTTTTATGCTAGGAATAATGGCACCTTAACATTAGGCAACTTGTTTGTTCGCAATATCACACCTATATCTGTTTTACGTTCTTAATCGCATGTGTGATATAAGCATTCGCTTTATCGGTTTATTTAAGAATTCCACGGAATTGTATATCGTGCTTGGTCCCATGTTCATAGTCTTTCAGTTGCTTGAGTCATTTTTTAATATAACCATGCAGTTTCAGTTAATTCATTTCAACACAAATATTTGAGCTTCCCGCGTAAGAAACTGTCACAGACAGCTTGATAGTGCCTATGATTCACAAAATGCTACGCCGAAAAGAATCGTTCTGCATGAAAATCACCCGAGTGCAGCCGGTTGTCGACGGCGAATAGGGATTTACTTTCAGTAGCTGGCGACGTCAAAATGTGCAAAGCGCATCGCTTCAAATCAGTGAACAGCTTTCTACACAGGTCCATTGAGTGGCGCCTGGCTTTCGACTTGAGCCAAACTTATCAGAGATCATGTCTTTTGCGCTTTTCAATTTCATTCGGCAAATTTTACGGAAGGTGAATATCAGACATTATTTGAAGTCTGGCATTTACTTATCTTACCATTCTCATACCTTGAGAACGTCGTAAGCAAATGTCCATATAACAAAAAGTTTATTTCATAAGGCCAATATTTTGAAATGCTGTAAAGGAGTACTTTAGTTAAAGAAATTTTCCAGTCAGCCTAGGTTGGTCTATCAATTTATGTCTCGAGCGCTTAATTTTTTAAAATAAAACAGGCCGAGACAATGTCACTTTTTTTATATTGTCTACGTGATTATATGAAACTTTTCTAGTCATTATAAAACACGTTTCGAGGTGTCGAAGTTAGAAAAGGCTGGTGTACGGAAACCAAACATCGAACAGTAAACTTGTCAGTTCATCTGTTCTTGGTGATTCAGCAGATTGTTAATCATGTTGTCGAGCAGCTTTTTCACTAAGCACTCATGCAATATAGTCTGTTGTAATATAAGATGATCAGTTCAATATCTGCCTTGAGCGCGAGCTATCTACCTTCCGCACCGCTCGGTGCACGCACAGCCAAAGCACGGCGGCAGGCATCGAGCGCACGCTGCAGGCGGAGCTTGTCCTGATCTTTTTCTTTTCTTAAAATTAGTGTCCGCGGGTACGGATGTGGACAATGGTGCTCCTCCCTGTGCATCAGCGCAGTTGTTTCACCGCCGAACCTGGCCGAAATTAACGATGGACGGAATCAGACGCATATAGTGTTCGTAAAAAAAGATCGCAATTTAGGCTCGAAACCACTTCGTGGTTTGCCAAGTGGCTCAATACTATTGTTTCATTCGCTGTGTGCTACTAGAAAGAAATTCATATCGCAAAATAATCGAAAGTGACATGAAACAGCATCACAATCGCGTGCACGTTGAAACCGAAACCGACCAAACTGAAGCAACCTAATGGCGGCGAGTGCGCCAGCGCCCTCTACCCGCCGGTCAGGCAACTACTGAAATGAAAAGGTCTATAATCTCGACACTTTGCGGAAAAGTCGCCGAGGAATCTGGCTACCGTGATCGGCGGGCGCCAATGTCAAACGCGTCACTTGGTCAATCACGGCCGCCAAATTCTTCGCCGACTTTTTTACCAAGTATCCAGATTAGAGCCCCATGAAAGGCTTTCAAGCGAGAGGCTGGATCCAGTTCTCGTGCTGTGCACGCGCAACCTCTGCGCACACACCTCGAATGAGAAACTTCAAGAAATTATAAAAAGTATATTCAACTTTTGGACGTGACACCTAAGCGCTTCGATGAACGTAGCATCAATGTAGAATCGCTCATGTTCCCATATAAAACTCTAAGAAGGCTAGAGCTTTACAATCCTCGTGTACGCGCCTGTCTTGTGTGGATACCACGTAACTTCTGACAAGAATTCGGTGAGTTCGCTGGCCTAGTGTATAAACGTATCGCGGCTCGTGCTGCAAAACCCTGGCATCCTGGGCTCAGTCTCCACGCCGTCCAGTTTATATCTGGGTGATCAGCGTACACCTGCGTCCGGTCGTGTATCACTACTGCGTGGTGCACGTTAAAGACACCAGTCTAGCAATGATAATGTACTGGGTAAATTGCTCCTCTACAGCGGAAACACCATATGGTTATCGGCCTGACCTCTCGCTGTCTAAACAAAAACATGACAGAATTAGTCGTGTTCACACGAAGCCATTTTCCAAACGCTTGCGCCATCTAGTAGCCGCTGTGGTAATTGTCCGAGTCTGCCATTACTTTGGCACGCGCTCTGGGCACGTATAGGATACGAGGCCTGAGTCAGCATTCGGCGTGAACTCGGCTCAGCCCGTATCAAGAACTAAAGCCGTGTCAGCATTCGGCCAAAAGTTGGGTCCAATCGGACACTTCGAGGCTAAGAAATCGTGACCGCCTGTGTTGCACAAAACGATTTCGATATGGGTTCTGTTACCTACAAGCCATCGACTCGGCTGCTCACGTCACTTCGCTCTCTGCCCGCAGGTGCTCCTGGAAAAGCTGCTTCGCTCGTGTCCCGACGTGGGTAGCATCTACCTGATCGTGCGCACCAAACGAGGTCTTCGGGCCGAGGACCGCATCGCGGACATCCTCAAGATGCAGGTGAGGCCCAGCGGGGAGTGCGCATGAGCCTGCTTCACACGCGGCTCCATGTTCAAACATTCTCAAATTAGAGTAAACTTTTATCCTTGAAGGCCTATTATGCAATAAATGAAGCATTCAAGGAGAAATAATTAAGGCTAAATCAGAAAAAATTTAACATCTGTTTCGGGAAGTGGAGAACATATGGTTTATCACTTTTCCCGCTAAGTTCTCCTGACAAAAGGACGTTACATGACTTGACGCCGCGCGGCTTGGTGGCTTGACGCTACGGTGCCAAGTGGTGGTGTCACGTCCATCTAGCAGCACACAGTGCTAGAGCACTGCACGGGCCCGGGCCAGCCCGAAAGCCCGAGCCCGGCCCGGCCCGCGGGCCGGGCTCGGGCCGGGTAGCACGTATTTCCTCGGGCCCGGGCCGGGCTCGGGCTTGAACAAAAAAAGTTCTCCGGCCGCACCGGCCCGGGCCGGCCCGGGCCGTGCCTGGGCAATCTTGTACCGTAAATCATAGATTGTTGCTGATAGCAAGAAGTTTGCTCATTAATCTTTTAGGTTCATTGAATACAAAAAAAAAAAAAAGCGAGGTGCAAATTCACAAAAATAATAACTAAACGACGTCTTGAAGCTAGAAAGCCTTCAAGCTTTTTCCGTGTAAGCGAGGGTTCAGTGTTATAAATTGTAAACAAAATAAAGTCCCAGTCATATGCTTGTCAACCTGTCTGATTCATCGCTCTCAAAAATATCTAGTCCACTATTAGGAAGATTTAGAAAAACGTACGCAAGCGCTTTGGGTACCGTAAAAATAGCGTTGCGATGTAAAACCTATGGCGATGCTAATTTTAGCTTGCCCAAAGTGCTTGAGTACGTTATTCTAAGACTCCCTTATTGCACAGAGCGCGACACTATTTTAGCGCGAACAAGCGATCGTCGTGTTTTTATGTTTATCTCATAAAATCAAAACGCTGTTTTCAAAACTATTAGTGTTTTTAGAAGTGCTCATCTGGGCCAAAGACCTAAGCGGTATACTTTGGTGCCTACTAATACCATTTCGATGTAAAATTCGAAAAAAGAGCCAACGTCGTGTTCGCGGTATCAGTGTCGCGCAGTGTACATAGTCCGTTCCGCGCTTGCACGTTTTGGGAACCATCTTGAAAAAAACGTTTAAGGGGTTAAGTAGGAATATATTAAACTTAATCTTGCCTGAAAGGGTTGTATATTTTAAGAACGCGTTGACATGTAAAGCTACTTGAGAACATATTCTTAAACAGAAAAGGTGCGCAGACCAGGCTTAGAACGATGGAGACTTTTTGCGAAGAGGTTGCGATGTGCAGGGCCTTATAGAAGTAGGTTGAAACGGGACGCGTTCAAACGCAAAGGGTGTTTCGGAAACTGGTTCAAATAAGAAGGGCGTTTAGGGAATGGGTCGAAACAGGACAAATTCAAACGAGAAGGGCGTTTAGGGAACTGGTCGAAACGGGACGAGTTCATATGGGAAGGGCGTTTAAAGAATGGGTCGAAACAGGACGGGGTTCAAATGGGGAGCTCGTTTCGGGAACGGGTGGAAACGGGACGGGTTCAAACGGGAATGGGTTGTTTCGGGCTACAGCCATCGGGCCGGGTCGGGCGGGGCCTAGAAATTGAAATTCTGTCGGGCTCGGGCCAGGCCCGGGCCGTGTCTCTTCCGGGCCGGGTCAGGCCGGGCCTAGAAATTAAAAATTCTGTCGGGCTCGGGCCGGACCCGGGCCGTGTCTCTACCGGGCCGGGTCGGGCCGGGCCTAGAAATTCCGGCCCGTGCAGTGCTCTAGCACACACTGCTAGATGGGCATACAGTCTTCTAGGATATGGGGTTCCGCACGAAAAAAAAAGAGTATGCTTTAATAGACGTGCGTTTTTCAACCTGCACAACAAAACGGCGGTATAGGAGGTTAAAACCTCTTAAATATCAATGAACCAATTGTAATGTGGCGCAATTTATTGTCAAGAAAAATTAATTGAAAACAAAAACGCAGGAAGGTAGCGCAACCACAGGATCAGTATTGAATCTAGAAAAAATTACGTGGTACTTTGTTTTGGTCGTTATTGAACCTCTAGAGCTGTCCATGCTTGAAAAAGCAGCCGCTTCTGTTGCGATGGCTTCGAAAGTTTAATGCCGTCTTCACTTACAACATTGGGAAACTTAGAATAAGCCGAAGGGATCAACGTAGAAAGGATGGGTTCCCTCCTTGTGGCAACTTACATGCAGGTAACGCTAGGAAAAACAAATATAAAGCTAAACTAGGGGCAGCACTCCTTTCTACACCCTAGGAGAGAGCAGCACCGCTCTGCAGCCTTTGTCGGTTCTAGAGAATGTCTAATTGGAGCCAACATCGTGTGTGGAAGCCCCTACAACGAAGACAAGCAAGCTCAATTTGAGTAAAGGCGTGTTGGCGTTTTTCTCTTTTGGATAATATATGTTATTAAACATTTTGCCTACACATGTTAGTTCAGGACACTGCGAAAGGTTGTTAAAAATGTTTAAACGAATGTTTTGTTTGTGTTTTTTTTTACATGCGATTCGTTACATTTAAAGAAATCAGCTGCGTTTCTGTATTACTAAGAAAGCTGCAATGATGGCTAAACATATATTTTTATATATATCCGTAACATGACATTAATGATGCACATTGTAATATTGTTGCGCCATTTTATATGAAGTATTTTGTTCGTAAATAATTTGCGAACATGCATCTAAAACGTGTTTACTTGGCGTGTTTCATAGCATTTCTAGTAGAAATATTTTTTTGCGTTTCTACTAATCTTTACACATGTTGCAAAATATATCATAAACTTAATATTAAAAGTTATTGCTACGTGCAATACTTTTTGTTTGAGAATTATGGCTGTGCGAATTACCGTAATGAAACCTTGGCAATCTACGCCTCGAGCTTCAAAATGTTATATCTCCAAAAAAACAACTAGCTACAACGTTCACGTAAAGCTGAATTATACGCCCAAGTTCATGGCTTTTGCATATACATAAGTCGGCACAAAATATAAAAGATATGACCCGAACAATCATTGTATGATCTGACATGAAAACATCATACTAAAAAGTTCGATAATCCAGAAATATATGATCGTAAATGCTGCCAGATAACTTGCGATATAAATTAAACTAAAACGTAGGCACCATTTAGAAATGTGAACGTTGTAGCTGCACACCGCAGCAACAAGATCCTTATATTTTTTTACAGAACTTGAATAAAACTAAATAGGCATCATCATCATATGCGTATCGCGTCCCGGACATTAATGGAACCTTCAAAAAATTAAGACTGGTTCTCTTAAATGCCATCCCGCTATGTTGACATCCCTTCTGTGCATAGTTGTACAATTAAAAAAATATTAATATTGTGATAGAGAATCAGTGCAGTCTTTATTTTTAAATTACAATTGATTCAACCGAGCATGAAATCAATTGTATATTCTGCCACTGCATGTTGTCCGAGGCATCTGCAATTCTTGCAAACTTGAAAAGCTATTGACGCCTCCTTTCAGAAATGCATCACCTATGGCCTAACGAACTTTCTGACTCGAGCCAATTTTACAAAACTGTGTTTTCGTCGGAAATACTTAAATTTTCCTTCTTGTATTTAATATAATTCCGAGATAATTGAATAGCTGACCAAGTGATTTTCAAATGTGAAAATAAAGAAAAAAAGTTTTCTTTATCGCGCGCCTCTAACTTTGAGTAATATTTTATACGACAATGAGGAGTCTTGCTTTTATCATTTTAGAGAGAAGGTATTGTTAGTAGCCTGCAGAAACAACCCAAAGGCATATCTGCTTCTTCTAAGATTATTTTCTAAAGGTGCTGAAATTAACTGTCTACATGAAGTTTATTTTCCATATCTTCCTTTGTTTTGTTTTTTACGACATCGGTATTACGGTTTTTGTGTCCAAGAAAAAAAATTTTCGCACTGGTTTCTTTCATTAATTCAAAATCGCACCATTATTTCTCTGGAAAGCTCATTAAAACAGCTTCTCATTAAAACCTATCCACTTTCAAAAATCCTCGATGTAGCTTAATTTAGTTCCTGAGACACAAAAAAACGACAATGCTATGTTTATTTTACTTCATTTCTTGGTGTCTGGTTTTGATGATTAAGCTTTCTGACCCGTTCGCCGGTACACTTTAATTTCTTGTCTGGAATGAGTGATTTTATTTTATTTTATCTTATTTTATTTCCGACTGCAAGCCATCGACAGGCCATGGCAGAAGTGGGTACAGATTACACGGAATACATGATCATAGTACAGTCACACATTAGGACAGCAAATTTGAGGCAAGGTTTTTCTTATTACAAAAAAAGTTGCGCTTAAAGCAAGACTGCTGGGCCGATTTGAATAAAGTTTATTCTCTCTTGGGCTACTGACAAACACCACCAGTCAAGCTGTTCCAATCATTTATACGTCTCACAAAAAAGAAACACGAAAATTTAGAAAGCATAGAAGAGTTCCTGTAAAGAAAATAAACACAATGTATTGCGTTTGTTTTCAACTACACGGGAGCTCGAGAATTGTATATATTTATGTTCTTTTTGGGAATCGTCAATAATTAAAGAGACCCATTTAAGGCGATTTATTTTATGTTCGTACGCTATTGGGGAGGAGGACAGACCGTGACGCCCCAAGCGGTTAACTTTACAACTACACGGATGGGGACAACAAATACAATGACTCATCGCTCGAACCACATAACAGAACGCGGCGTCAGCTTTCGGCTGGAGTTCGTGTTCTCCAGTGAAGGGGAGGAGAGGCTCTTTTGTTTCCACTACGGCCTGCATGAACAATGCAGCATGCACGGTCCCAGCTCCGCACAAAAGCCGAAGTGGGTCAAGCTCGCCTTTTCTGAGGATAGATCCGGCACTTAACGTCGCTCGTCGATCGTTAGTATTTTTTACATTAAACTGTGCACCGCGCTCTATTGTAGAAGATGACATGGACATGCCCATAAGGCCTGTCGG